TTTTAAGGGTATTTACATTTGCTTGGAACCTTTGAAGAGAGGATTCAAAGCACACTGCAGGCCACTGGTGTGCTTGGATGGTTGTTTTCTTAAGACAAACTATGGGGGCCAACTGTTAACTGCTGTGGGCATAGATCCTAATGACTGTATCTTCCCCTTAGCTTATGCAGTGTGTGAGGTTGAAGACTCTGAAAATTGGCAATGGTTCTTAAGACTGCTTGGTGATGACTTGGACCTTCATAGAGATAGTGTCTTCTGCTTTATGAGTGACAAACAGAAGGTATGATAACATTATAAACTTATTTGTAATATGTATAGAATATTGTCTTATGCTTGATTACTGACCTCATATTAATATTCCAGGGTCTTGTAGGCGGAATTGCTAGTTTATTCCCAAAAGCAGAGCATAGGATGTGTGTGAGACACTTATATACCAATTATAGGAATCACTTCAAGGGGTCAGAGTTAAAGGACTTACTCTGGGATTGTGCCAGGGCTTCTTATCCTGCAAGGTTGTTGGGGTGCCTAAAGCTTCTAGAAGATAAATGTCCAGAGGCAAGGGAGTGGTTGAAAGCAAGGCCACCCAAGAACTGGTCTAGGGCAGAATTCAGCACTTTCCCCAAATGTGACATGTTAACAAATAACTTGTGTGAGTCATTCAACAAGTACATTTTAGATGCAAGAGAAAAACCCATTCTTATCATGCTGGAGATGATTAGGACTAAACTCATGAAGAGGTTGGCTACTAAGAAGAAGGTAATGGACAATGTGAAGGATACCTTATGCCCTAAAATTAGAGCTAAAGTTGCACAAAATACTGAACATGCTCACATGTTCATTCCAACCTTTTCTGGAGGGTCTAAGTATCAAGTTGAAGGTCCTGGTGGGTTACAGTATGTTGTTGACCTGGCTACACAGACTTGTGGATGTAGAAGGTGGGATTTGACGGGCATTCCTTGCTCACATGCCATTGCTTGCATTCTTGATAACAATGAGGACCCAGATCTTTACACAGACAAGCAGTATTTGGTTTCCAACTACCTACAGCTATATAGTCACTACATCAACC